ACAAGATTTGTTTCAAGTTTTCCTTCTCTTTGTAGTACTGTTGTCGTGAGTAGTCTGCTCCTCTTACGACACCCACGGAATAAATAGGGGTGGTGACACTCCGTATCCTTAATCCGTCACCACACGGATATATAGTACCACACCACACGAACCAATAGCACCCATATGCTGATTACTTTGTGATGTAAAGGGTACGTACAACCTAGGTCAGGTTACGAGGTTCTGCATATTTTCCCTAATAAAAATAGTCCCTATACGGCAAACTCACAAAAGTAATATCGATCCATGATGATCAGCACGATAATGCACTTGTATTTCTAACTTATATGTGAAATTATCAGTTGTCTGATAATGGCTATTACGTCACAAGCCATTTAGGTGTATTTTTTTAGTGTTACACTCGTTTATTTTACGTGTGGAAGCTCTCTCTCTCTCTTCATATATTACAACATATGTCTCTACAATTTTTAGGAAAATTCATAACCAGTGCAAATTTGCGGACGACCGAATGGCGTAGTGGTTTGTGTAACGGACTGCTATTCCAAAGTTCGCGGGTTCGATTCCCGCTCAAGTCAAGCATTTGTGTGCATGAACATTTAATGTTTGATTTGGTGTGGGTGTTTCTATGTATAATATGTATGTATTTACAAAAAAAAAAGTATATATGTATTTATATCAGTTGTCTAGTACCCATAGTACAAGCTCTGCTTAGTTTGGGACTAGATGGCGTTGTGTGATTGTGGTAGAATATTATTATTATTGAAATTATTTGTATTGTTTTTCTCTAATTTTCCATCTTAAAAGTGTAATAGTCCATAAATAAAATAAATTTAACAGACATTGAGAGTAATTGATTAAAATCGCATCACAAACACAAATCAGTAATTTGGTAATAATTTATCTGCGTAACCTTCGTTTCCTAAGAATAATAGTATACTACGTGTAAGGCGCGGACTCAACCAAAACGGATATATGCGGAGATGTCAGAAGCGGAGACGAGTAGAAATGTTTTTCGGCTAGGGTGTATCAACCGAAGCTGTGCATAGCGGCGTACTGGCTAGACTAGAGCGGATATGTATGCTGGCTAGGGCGGATATATGCACTGGCTAGAACGGAACTGAGCTGCTTGCGGCGAGCGTTGGATGTAAACGCACAACATCCGTGGTCCGGGCTTTAATCCCATTCCAAAACTGTTTCTGGGACTTTAATTGAAATCCGTTTAATTGTTTTAAGTGGAAGAATAACATTATATAAACTATCATAACTTGTACGACATTCGTATAAAATATTTTCACAATAAAAAGTAACCTATTGATAAAAGTTTTAGGCGTGTTTTCAAGCAACATATCATAAAAATACACGCTTCTGCTACTGAATTTTGGAACGAAACGTGTGTGGAAACATTTTGATGTGACATTAAGTATATAGATTGAAAAGTTGTTGAACTTTTCTTTATTTCATATTTTTCCTCGTATTGTTAAGTGACAGATGACATATAACACGTCAAATAAAAGAGTTTTTTTAGATTATTAAATGTATATATCTAGGTTCTGACTAGTGTTTCGCAATCTAGTAGGTGAAACTTACTTAAACTAGGCAGATAAAAACATTATGGGTCTGTTTGTCTGGTAGTGCCTAACTGTTGTGCGTGCATAAGTTGTGGGCTCGAACCCCACCCCCACCCCAAGACAAATAATTATGTGATGAGTACGATCAATTCTTCTGTATCTGGATGTTATTTTCTTACTCGATCAAAGGCAACGACGGAATTTCTTAACACCGGTTTTCGGTTAACGCAGTTTTTATATCAGTCCGTGCTTTTGGGCCAAAATGTGTCAAAACATGGCTCACCCTCAATTGTATCTAATTTATTTTATAAAACGATAGATTGCATGACGCCAATCGCCAAGTAAACGTGATAAAGGCAATATAAAAAGCAATTAATAAAAAAAAAACTTTTACACTAAACAATTTACCTAAATGTAATACTTTTCAGATTACCATCATACATAACATCAGCCTTTAACAAAGGTGAACAAAGGCCTCTCCTTAGAAAGAAGGTTTTTCTCCACGCTGGCCACGGATTTTTAAAGGGGTTGTCGGCACTTCGGAGGTAGGGGCGGCTGTTCTACGGATCCGTTCCAAGAACACCGCCCCTGGGCCGGACGGGATACCGGCCCGAGCACTGGCCCTAGCCCTTCACCACATGGCAGACCGCCTCAGGGAGGTGTTCGACGCCAGCTGGGTGTCCGGACGTTTTCCTGAGTGCTGGAAGAGCGGGAAGCTGGTCCTATGGTCGCGGCCTACAGGCCCATTGTGTTGCTGGGCGAGGCGGGTAAATTGTTTGAGAGGGTGCTCTCTGCCCGCATCGTCCGCCACCTCTGCGAGGTGAGCCCGGACCTGTCGGACGCCCAATTCGGTTTTCGAGTGGGGTGTTCGACGGTGGGCGCTGTGCTACGCCTGAGGGCCGTGACCGAAGAGGCGGTAAGCTGTGGCGGCGTGCTGTTGGCGGTGTCATTGGACATCGCCAACGCATTCAATAGTCTGCCATTCAGCTGCATCAGGGAAGCACTACACTTTCATGGGGTGCCCAAGTACCTGAGGCGGCTAGTGGCAGACTATTTAGAGGAGCGTACCGTCGAGTACGAGGACTGAGCTGGTAATCTGAGGTGTCGGCCCATGTCGTGCGGTGTTCCACAGGGGTCTGTTCTTGGACCCCTCCTGTGGAACATTGGGTACGACTGGGCCCTTCGAGTGGAGTTTCCCCCTGGGCTGGGTGTAATTTGTTACGCCGATGATACATTGGTCACAGCCCGGGGGGCGAACTTTCAAGAGGCGGCGCGCTTGGCCACCAGGGGAGTCTCTCTGGTGGTCGGGCGAATCGAGGCGCTGGGTTTACGGGTGGCCCTGGATAAGACGGAGGACCTCTTATTCCATGGGCCCCATCGTGGTCCACCCCCCGGCGCCTCAATCGTGGTCAACTCGGTCCTCGTACCGGTTCGGGCCCAGATAAAATATCTGGGCCTGATCCTCGACGGGAGGTGGCTCTTCGACGAGCACTTCCGACAGCTCGCTCCAAAGCTGGTCGACGCTGCGTCTGCCCTTAGGCGACATCTACCCAATCTGGGTGGACCCAGCGTCGCAACGAGACGGCTGTACACGGGGGTTGTCCGGTCAATGGCACTGTATGGTGCACCGGTGTGGGCGGCGGCTCTGACCGCTCAGAATAGGGCACGCCTCTGGTGACCTCAGAGGATATTGGCGGTTAGAGCCATACGCGGTTACCGCACCGTTTCAGCGGAAGCGGCGTGCGCGTTGGCCGGTACTCCCCCGTGGGACTTGGAGGCCGTTTAAACCACCAAATTTAGATGCCCCACATGGGTGGTACATGGGTGTAGAAAAAATCAATTTTGGTTCCGAAAAAATCTGACATTTTGAATCTTTATAATCTTAGAACTCCGTGTCGTGACAAAAACCAATTTAGCCGCCAGTTACGAGGTAATAGAGGAACGGTAAACGTTATTTATTTATTTACATATACATTCTTCCCCTATTTTAACAGGTTCACCCCAATATCATGTCATTGGACATCGCCAACGCATTCAATAGTCTGCCATTCAGCTGCATCAGGGAAGCACTACACTTTCATGGGGTGCCCAAGTACCTGAGGCGGCTAGTGGCAGACTATTTAGAGGAGCGTACCGTCGAGTACGAGGACTGAGCTGGTAATCTGAGGTGTCGGCCCATGTCGTGCGGTGTTCCACAGGGGTCTGTTCTTGGACCCCTCCTGTGGAACATTGGGTACGACTGGGCCCTTCGAGTGGAGTTTCCCCCTGGGCTGGGTGTAATTTGTTACGCCGATGATACATTGGTCACAGCCCGGGGGGCGAACTTTCAAGAGGCGGCGCGCTTGGCCACCAGGGGAGTCTCTCTGGTGGTCGGGCGAATCGAGGCGCTGGGTTTACGGGTGGCCCTGGATAAGACGGAGGACCTCTTATTCCATGGGCCCCATCGTGGTCCACCCCCCGGCGCCTCAATCGTGGTCAACTCGGTCCTCGTACCGGTTCGGGCCCAGATAAAATATCTGGGCCTGATCCTCGACGGGAGGTGGCTCTTCGACGAGCACTTCCGACAGCTCGCTCCAAAGCTGGTCGACGCTGCGTCTGCCCTTAGGCGACATCTACCCAATCTGGGTGGACCCAGCGTCGCAACGAGACGGCTGTACACGGGGGTTGTCCGGTCAATGGCACTGTATGGTGCACCGGTGTGGGCGGCGGCTCTGACCGCTCAGAATAGGGCACGCCTCTGGTGACCTCAGAGGATATTGGCGGTTAGAGCCATACGCGGTTACCGCACCGTTTCAGCGGAAGCGGCGTGCGCGTTGGCCGGTACTCCCCCGTGGGACTTGGAGGCCGTTTAAACCACCAAATTTAGATGCCCCACATGGGTGGTACATGGGTGTAGAAAAAATCAATTTTGGTTCCGAAAAAATCTGACATTTTGAATCTTTATAATCTTAGAACTCCGTGTCGTGACAAAAACCAATTTAGCCGCCAGTTACGAGGTAATAGAGGAACGGTAAACGTTATTTATTTATTTACATATACATTCTTCCCCTATTTTAACAGGTTCACCCCAATATCATAACTAAAACATAAAAATAAAATAAATTCTAATAAATAAAATAAACTTAAAGAAATAGAAAGTAACCACTAACTAACTATCAATATAACATAGACATTACATGTAATGTAAACATGTCATATATAAAAACAGATACAATCCCTTTTATAACCTCCTTTTGGGCTCCGCTGCATTCAGGCAAAAGTTATTATTTTGCTCATTTAAGTAGGTATTAATACTTTGATGTCACCGCAACATCCCCAATGGGTTTTGCGAATAATAATGACCCTTGTACACCAATGTCACAGAGTAGACAAGACAGAAATTAAGTTATTAGATTTTCTTCTCAAAATAATCTAATTCTAATCTTGTTACAGACTCCGCACAGGATGGAGTGCAGCGAAGAGCGAGCCTCCTCTGACGCCGAAAGAAAGAGAGGCAATAGCGGCCGTCGTCAAAAGGGCGGAGAAGATAGATGAAGTCGAGGCTAAGAGAGTTGGCAGACTGGTTGCCAGGCTAGAAGGTACGTTGCCAGCTGTCACTTTTTTATGAAATAGGGTGTAAACGATCAGAAACGTCACTTGATAGTAAGAGACTACCGCCGCCGATCACACCAGCAATTCAAGAGGCATTGCTGTCCTATGAGTCCTCTCTGCAGAATTGCCTGTAAAACCAAATGCAATTCTTAAATGGTTACTTGACTTGACTTTAAAAAGACAACTCCCGCATTAGGAACAAATCCTGTGTCGCGGAGGACTTTACAAACATACATGAAACGGACACAAAGAACACCCAGATTCTGAACAACAATCTATGGATCACACAAAGTGTCGTTCCATGTGGGGTTTGAACCCACAACACTCGGCGTAGTAGGAAGCGGCGTGGCGACCGCTTAAACCACTACGCCATCCGTGCAGTCAGCCATCAGCAGTTTATACCAAAACTTTCGTATTTACTACTTTACAATACTCGGTCTCATAAGATAAGATAAATACTTCACACAACGTCTATTAAATTCAGTCGAGTGTGTATTCATGATACTAAGCGGTACCCACGTTCTCTTTAAACATTTTTATATTCATCAATATCATCAACTTTACGTAATATTGAGAGGAGCCCATGTCTAAGTGGTAACCGAGTAGGATAGTACATTGCACAGTTAAGCAATAATATCCAGCTCCGTCTACGGATGGGTGACCATTCTTATCACAATAAGGCCCCTCCATGTCTGTCTCGGAGAGCTCTTTAAGCTGTTCGGGTTGTCAAACGAACATCAATGGCAATCGTCACAGGTAGTTGGGGTCCTAAAAAGTTCGACAATAGTCGTTCACAGAACTTCGATATTACCTAGAACTTGGCTTGTGGAGGTCTGAGAGCAGCCGCTTTATGTAAAAAATGAAGTTCAGCCGTATCATAGTAGAAAGCCGATCTCAACTCAGTTTGGGGAAAGACTCGGGGGGAGGATCTGTCAATTGCAAAAGAGTGGTCATGAGTTTGTTTACCCTTTCTTCTCATAAGGCTCAACCCCTTGGAAACGGTCGGTTGTAGATCGGCACAGGCATATCATAGATTCTGTATGTGTTTGTTTTTGTTAAATTTATTTGCTTACTATTTAACAAAACAGAGATTGTTGCTTTTGTGTGTGTTGATCTACAAGTTTGAAATTTTCATAAAAGACGATTTCAAACAATTTTAAAAATGTTATGAAATAAAGAGAGTTTGAGTTTGAATTTGATTAGTAATTCACACCAATGGTTCAGACCTGGCTTCAGCACACATAAACGCGATTAAATTCCAGGTTAGATATTTAATATGTATAGCAGTTGTTGAAATGTAATTATACAAAACATGTCTACAGTTGATTTGGAATCTGTGTACGTTTACATAAAGTATAAAGGTCCGGGTTCAGGGTCGTAACCGCAGGTTAATCCCATAAAGCCGAAACGTACAGACTGAATCGCAGAGTTTTAACAAACGGTAAACTTATTTTAAACTAGAATTTGAAAAGCGGATTTCCGGACCAGGCAAAATGTCAAAAATATTTAAGCCGGTTTTTACGCATCGTGCAAATAACTGTGTAAGCATGAAAAAACATATTATTTTGACATTACAAATAGTCACTTCAACTTAAATTATTTGTATATATAGATAGTATTCAAGTAAATATATTTTTTAAAGGCGTTGCGTAAAGCTTCCGCAATATTAATATCCTAATTAATATTTTTACTTCTAACTTTTTAGGAAATTAATAAACAACATTTGACGGCCGGATGGCGTAGTGGTTTGTGTAACGGACTGCTATTCCAAAGGTCTCTTGTTCGACACCCACGGGATGCTAATGCCACTTAAATGAAATGTTCTTTTATTGTTCTTGCTGTACCAATCAATAGATTTAATGTACCACAAATGTATCTTGTTAAAAGTCTTGGGTTCTGCAAATGTTTGTTACGGAGTTATATAATATGTATGTATTTACAAAAAAATGTATATGAGTATTCTATCTGTCAATCTTAGTTTGAATACTAGATGGCATTGTACGTTGGATGTCCGATATAAAAATAAAAAATAAATATATGTTATAATGGCAACCGTGTCTGCCATGGGAGAGCCCGTGGAGTGTTAACACAGCCTGACGTAGCAATTATTTCGTTCCTTTCATCAGATGAGTGAGGTTGCCAGAGGCCTAATCCTAATACAAAAGGTGTCACTTAACATCTGCACTGCTATTCTTTAAGGAAACAGCGTTGCGTACAGCACTGCCACAGCGCTGCGCGCAAATTTGACGCTACAGCGCTGTCACGGCTTCGAATTTCAAACTAAGTTAGTTTAAAGTTCGACGCTATGGCAACGCTGTTTCCTAAGAGAATAGCACTGCAGGTGACCCATCTGCACTTCCCTCTCCCCTTTCTCTCATCCCTTACATAAAAATATTATGCTCATCTTATTTTAAAAAGGAACTTAAATTGTCAAACAGCACAATAGTTAGAAGCAGGAAAGCTTTCTATAAAGACGTTTTATTACTACAAAGTTGTTTAAGCAAACTTCCATGGTAGCATGGAAGTTTACGAGTATGTGATCAAAAAAATATTTACATAAAGCCAATACATTCAGTAAGTTATTTATTATAATATATTTTTAACTTCTAAGGACCTGTTTAGGGATTACGGATAATCTTTTCGGTTCAAAGTTGCAAATTAAATTTTCAACATTATTCAAGTTTCTAATACTTCTTTTGTCTCCTGACTGGATTTTTATTTATAAATAAACTGTGTTGGGTTTTAAATTACTAGCATTTTAACTAACTTCAAAAACCAGAGAAGCTTTACAATTTTGGGAACTACTAGTAAATAAATAAATGAGACAAAGTTTTAATCAAATTAAAGAGTTAATCAAACTTGTTCGGCTAACATGCAAAAATCTAAACACGGCTAACGGAGACGCTGTGGAAATTACCTACATGCTGTTAAAAGGACCCAGTTATTTCTGTATGTACTTTATAGATATAAATAGCTTCCCTCTCCATCGTCCTTGTGTTTCCTCTGAAATTGAGAGTTTCTCAAGGCAAGGGATCATTAAATACGGGTATAAAGAAAATCGTGTCCAATACTTTTATAAATAGTTCGGGTACATTTTTAATGCTGTTGTTATTTAACTGCTGTAATACTATTAACTCACAGAAAAGCATCACCCGAAGGTTGACTGGTAGAGAATGCCCTAGGCATTAAATCCGCCAAAGCACCTACAATGCATGATGTGTAAATAAATAAATAAAAGCTGGTTCTAAGCAGTTGTTCCATTGCTTTTTGTTCGTGAGTAAGGTTACTGGAGGAAGAATAAAAAAAATTGGACTCTATCTGATGATCTCAAGCTACAGTGACTAATTATCATTTATTTGACGGGCCTGTTGGTCTAGTGGTTAGTGACCCTGACTGCTAAACCGGAGGTCGTCGGATCGATTCCAACCCAGGACAAATATTGTGTGATGAGCACGGTGAATGACCGTGTTCTGTGTCTGGGTGTAATTTATCTATAATATGTATCTATTAAAAAAAATATAACTATGTTCATCAGCAGTCTGGTTACTATAGTACAGGCTCTGCCTAGTTTGGGATCAGACGGCCGTTTGTGAGATGTGTGAGATATATATTATTTCACATCACATCAACAGCCTTTAATAGTCCACTGCTGGACATGGGCCTCTCCTTAGGAAGGAGGTTTTGAGCTATTATACCACGCTGGCCAGACGGGTTGGAATAGGGTTTAGGGGGAATAGGGGTGGTGACACTCCGTATTCTTAATCCGTCACCACACGGATAAGGCCATTTATTTATCTGTATTTTATTTTTATTTTTTCTTTTTGGATTCGGTTTCTATTATGAGTAGTCTGGTAAGCCAGAAGTTACGTCGAGGTACGATTCTAACCCAGGATATACACATAATTGTGTGATGAGCCCCATCATTAGTTCTGTATCTGCGTGTAATTTATCTAACAAATTTATGTATTCAGTAACAAATACGTTTATCAGCAGTCTTATTACCATAGTACAGATTATTTAGCTGCATTTTAGATTAACTTAGGACATTAGAAGACTAAATACTTTTTTTATTCGCTTGACGTTTCCTCATCAGGCATGCGTCGCTCAGCCCAAGGACCTGCCCCTCGTTCCTGCTTACTTTGCGGCGAGACTGCGCGACTGCTAGCTCCACTAAGAACCTGCTCCATCTGCCGGCACACGGCCTGCTCCAAGTGTGTCATTGACACGCCTTCTCACCGGTGAGACAGCTACTTAGTAAGGATACAAAAAAATGAATTTAGAGAAATTTTATTTCCCTAAATATTCCTCTGCTTTTTTTTGTTTAGTCGCTAAATTAGCTAAACACAACATAAAATATGACATGAGATAATTATTATATAATAGAATAATGTAATAGGTAGAAAAAACTATTTTAATAAAGCTGTTCTTTACATTGATAATTCATAAGATAATAAATTTTGCCATTGTCTTCTAGACCTTATTCACCTCGTAATACATATCATAATACATTGCAAAAAATTCGGCATCTTTCTTTGATGGTCGACCGCCAGCCTGATACTAATCCTCCTGAGGAATAGTAAGGTCAGAAGGTAAATTAGAGTAATATTAATATCATATTAAGAGGGAGTAGGCTAATCGGAGTAAGAATATTCATTGCGCGATACATAACAAAAGCAATCCGTATTGAAGGTCCGTTTCTTGACAGTAATTTAATTGCATTATGCATTCGCTTCATGGCATATGAGTAGCCATGCAAGAGCTTAAAGAGTTAGTATTATGGCTCAAAACATAGTAATCAGTGAAAGAAATTTGCAGTTACGTGTGGCAGGAGCTGGATGCGAGAAGCCCAAAATCGATCTAAGTGGCGTGCAATTGGAGAGGCCTATGTTCAGCAGTGGACTGCGATGCAGCCTTAAAACAACCGATTGATTTATTGACATGGTGACAATGCCAACATACGCGAACCTACCCTATCGCCTTCGTTTGATTTCCTAATGAGTTTGCCGTATGTAGGAATACGAACATCTTAAAGGAATCGTTGTTTGGTTAAAAATCGTTTGGTTTTAAATTAATTCTGATGAGATTCCTAAACACATTTTTAAAAAGATGTTAAATTGAAGTCTGTTTGTTATATCAAAACGATAGGTTTTTTAATGCTCACACGGTTATTTGCAGGATACCTATGCCTAAAAACCATTTTTTTTGTGTGTCTGTTTGTTCCGGGTAATCTTCTAAACGGCTAGACCGATTTTGATAATATTTTACTACCATATAGTTGTCTATATAAGGAGTAACTTAGGCTATTTTCAGAAAAACCCTTTAAAATTTTACCCGGTATGGGAATCGAACCCACCAAGGCAGCGATTTCAAAGTCTGTTCCCGATTAATGGATAATTTGTCTCGCCAATACAAAGCAGAACGCCCAACGCTTGATCTCGGGAATAAATATACTAATCAGCGCAAGATAATAACGAGGTGTAGAATTACTCAATTACTCCGTAGTCAGTGTTTATTGGTTAGATGATATTGAAGTTTGGTTTTTCGTTGTATGCGTACACAATTGCCACAAGCCCTATTCATCCCATGGGTGTCGGAAGAGGCGACTATGGGACAAAACTACGACGGACAACAGCACTGCAAAGAGAAGGAAAACTTGACACAAACCCTATACTAACCCGTCTGGTCAGCGTGGTATAGTAGGACAAGCTCTCCTTTCTAAGGAGAAGCCTTTGCCTAGCAGTGGACTATTAACAGCTGATGATGATGATGATGATGATGATGATGATGATAAAGATAATTATATCATTTATTATTAAGTATTACTAAAAATAACCAAAAAAATATGAAATAACATATTATTACCTCAATATTTTAGCCGTTCTCGACCGAACGTAATTTTTTATCTTTTGCCGTCCGCTTCGTTAAGGTTTTCCTTTTCTATTCGTCGGGGATCGGTATTTTTTCTTAATCAAATATCCCTAAGCTTATTTTCTTGCCCCTGACAATATGTATTCGAGATTTTTTGGAGATCCGTGTATTAATTATTAACTGACTGCCTAGGTGGTGCAGTGGTAGCGTATGCAACTACTATGCTGAGGACTCGGGTTCAATTCCCAGGTCGTTCTAAATGTTTGTATGATCTGCAAATACTCGTATTTGTTTCGGAGTTTGGATGTTTTCTATGTTTAATATGTAGGTATTTACAAAAAAAAAAGTATATAAGTATTTCGGCCAATCTAGTTTTCATAGTTCAAGCTCTGGTTAGTTTGAAACTAGATGGCGTTGTGTGTAAAAAAATAATTAGGTACGGCGTGACAACTTTACAATCAAACAAACTTACATTCACAGAAGTATAAAAGCACCTAGTAATGAACGAACAGGTTCATTCCTGGGAGAAAGAAATCGTCTGTCAAAATATTCAGAAAAAGTGAGTTATAAATCTTAGGTATATCTAGTTAACTGTTCAAAAAATCTTTATAAATGAAATAAGCCATTACCCTAAATTAAACCAGCAATAATGTTTTAAGTCTTAAAAGTAGTCAAATTGTTGGCTGGTCGACTTCTGATTAAACCAACTTAAAACAAGAAGGGAGGTGTATTTTACTCGATATTCTTGGAATTTGAGAACCGATTTAAATAATTATTATCTCATTTGAATTGGTTACACCCACTCAAATTTTAAGAAAGTTTTTCGACTACAAGCTTCAATCAAAACTTCTAGAAGAGGAAACTTAACTTAACTTATGATTTAGGTAGGATATGTACTCGTAGTGCCTAAACCACTACATGTCTCGTACTACGAAATTTCATTCACCGATCAAATTGAATGCTTTATCATCATCATCATCATTAACAGCCTTTAATAGTCCACTGCTGGACATAGGCCTCAGCTAAAAGCAACGAAAGATTTATATAAAGCCCAACGCCGTTTTATTCCGTGCCGGGGCCCCCTGACACTCAAGAATATTGGCCCCTGTTTGACAGTAAAGCAAAATGAATGAATAAATATTTTTAGCTGTCAATTTTTTGTCAAATTATATGAATCTAAAATGGAAAATAGAATTGTATAGTGTCACACAACACATCACATCAGAGCCTTTAATAATGCACTGCTGAACATAGGTCTCTCCTTAAAAAGGGGGTTTTGACCTACTATACCAAGCTGGTATAGGATTTGTTTCAAGTTTGCCTTCTCTTTGCAGTGCTATTGTCCTGCGTAGTTAACTCCCTTAGTCGCCTCTTACGATACCCACGGGATGAATAGGGGTGGTGACATTCCGTATTCTTAATCCGTCACCACACGGTCCGTCCGTTAATCCGTCACAATGCTTGCTTCATGCTTGAGCTAGCCGTACATATTATAAAATGAAGTCCCCCGGCCTCGTCTGTCTGTCTGTATGAAACAGATTTTGTACGGTTTTCACGAATAGGTAGTGTGATTCCTGAGGAAGATTTAAGTGTATAATTTATTCTGTTTTCATGTAAGTTGACTGAAATATAACGATTATTGTTGAAGAGGTCGCAAAAAACCTTGCCTACTGGGAGCTTTATTTGCCTACGCCACGTAAACCAGCAGAGTCATTATTATTATTATTATCTATTTATACCCATTACCTATTAAAGTACTGTAAAATACAGTAATTTGAGAATATCCTAAGTAGATATAACTCACTTTTTAAATGTTACAAAAAGAATCACGGTTACCGAAATCCGCGTGGGGGAAGTTGCGGTCTGGAACTATTTAGTTACTGTGTGATTTTGTACCATAACAAGTCTTAATATATATAGGGTAATGTAGCCGTTTTTTACACTTTTTTTTTTACTTTTTAACATAAATTATTCAAACCTTTACCCTTTTCACTTGACCTAAATATAAACATTAAGTATTTCTAATATAATTTACTTCTGAGCGCCATTTTTAAAGCGGACACAATATTGACGAATTAACATTTATAGATTCTCATGCAAAAAAATATCACTTGTGCATAGGCAAAGACATTTTTCTTGTCAACACCTTCTTCTACAGACAGCAGTAACTATGTTATACCTTCTTTCCAGGTCTCCCTTACGCTCCAGAGAGGCTTATATGTGCAACCTGTGTGCTGAGACGAGGGAAATGTGGAAGAAATCCGGTGCTTGGTTCTTTAAATCACTACCTAAATATGTTCTCCCAGATAGAAGAAACACCGGCCGGTATAATGATACTGAACTGGCAAGGTCTTTGCAGGTGAGGAACAAATAACTTAAACATGAACTGGAATTACTTCTGTTAATTATATATAAAAATGTTAAGTTGGTTTGTGTACACTTGAAAAACTCAAAAGTTTTACACCGATTGATCTCAAATTTTGACACGAAATGTAATCAGCTTCAAATATTGGTTTTATTTTAAATTTTTCGACTCGTTAGTTTTGTTCGTTATTTCTCATTAATGCAACCACAATCTGTCACAGCGAAGCGTGGAAAGGTGCAGCTAAATAATTATCTATATATATATTTTTATGTAAACGAGCAGACGGGTCACCTGATGGAAAGCGACTACCGCCGCCCATGAACGCCTGCTACTCAGGAGTCACAAGCGCCTTGTCAGCCTTTAAGGACCTGACGTGACCTTTTTTGACCCATCTGCCCCCTCTAACATAAACAAAAAAAAAAGGCGTACGCTCTTTTCTTGAAGGTTTTATTTTAAAGAAACATTGCTTTTGAATTATTTTCTAATATTAGACAACATTCAGTAACTGACTGAATGAAAATGATGAGATCATTACATTTTAAGATGCTTATCTTATAATAAATTTATATTATTAACACGCTTTTATTAGCTTGGTATGTAACGGAATTTTCGAACGTGATTTTGACCCACTTCAAAACGTCGAATTAAATTAAAACTTTGCCCAATTATGAAGGACCGACGACAATGTTATAATAAAAATAGCTGGACCTTCAGGATTAACGGCTTTTCCATACCTAAATGTACGGTAGTGTCTTTTGCCACGTACTAAGGCGTGTGCTGAAGCATATGTGATGATAATCTTACTGGTTACTCTTTTAGTCTTAATAAGATAATAATCATCATTAATGACTAAAAAATGAAAAATAAATTTTAGTCTTAAAGAACTAAAAAATTCGCTTTTCAGTTTGTTTGATAATATTTTACCTTTTCTATTAACAATAAATGTTTATACAACAATTGAGATCTAGCACCCACGCTTTTTACGATAAAATGATTTTTCATTTTGAACTCGTAGAAAATTACTTCCTATTTTTAGTTCGGCTAGCTACAAAAGCGTGGTTTATTAGTTTTTAAACTATAATTTATTTAAAATTTAAATAAAAAGTGACGAAATGTCGACTTAAGCAAAAAAAATTGAAATAATAAATTTACCTAAGTATTTTTATTTGGCTATTTAGATAAAAAGATAGAATTTTCTATAATACACATAAATAACAAAGGAAAGTTAAAAAAATGTTGTTCTACATATTAAAGTACAGCTTGCGGTCTTCTAGCCTTAGGCGATGTCTACCAAACAACCTTGGGATAGATATAGCAATATATTTTTTTATTTAAAATCGTAGTGTAGTTGACGGAGTTCTATTCCAGATTAGACAAATAATTCTACACATAAATACATTATAGGTACAAAATCAAAATCAAAATCATTTATTACACGGTTGCCTGTTCATATTGTGTATGCATCCATTCTAATATCAAAAATGCGAAAGTGTCTGTCTGTCGGTCTGTCTGTCTGTCTATTACCTCTTCACGCTTAAACCGCTGAACCGATTAAAATGAAATTTGATATAGAGATATTTTGAGTCCCGGGAAAGGACATAGGATAGTTTTTATTTTAGAAATTATCCTTTAAAGGGGTGAAAAGAGGGGTGGATGTTAGTATGGGGAATTTAAAACCAGTGAACTGATTCAAATGAAATTTATAATGGAGATCGTTTGATTTTTGATTGAGGATATAGGCTACTTTTTACCGGGATAACCGAGATACACAAGGGCGGAGCCGCAGGCATAAACTAGTGTAAAAATATATAGTGTCTATATAGATTACTATACTACACGGTACACGCTACACGGGCCATACTACGACTAAAATAGGAAGGATCCGGCAACAGTTTTTATTAAGACATCTGGACCCCGCCTAGCGATACCCGTAAAAGCGCGGGCACCACCTTATGGTAAAGACTCATTTAAGCGACATCCGCCTGGACATCTGGACACCTAGCCTGTACATCCGTCTGATTGGCTTCTGTGGCGGATAAAGGGGAAAAACCCGCCGATTCCGCCGCATGCTCCGCCGTCTCCTTCCGCGAGCAAGTTATGCTTGCGAAGGAGATGGCGGAGCGGGACCGGGAGAGGTTTAGAACTCTCCCTTAGAATTCTCCCTCTTAGAGTTTATAACAGGTGAGTGAGATTTTATACCATCCCTATACAATTTATAAGACAGTATTAAATAAATATAAAATTATAAATAGGTTTGTACTGAACTTCAAAAAAGCCTCTTCACCTACATATTAAAAAAAAAAGAACAAAAATAATGAAATACCTATTTTTCTTTAAGTGGACTTAAGTAGCACTACAACAGGCTTTCGAGAAAAGCTTCGCATTTAAGCCTTTTTAATGTTTGTTTACAAAGTCAAGTCAATTTAGACCCAGCACAAATAACAAATGGAAAAGAAATTAAATTACGTAAACGGTGGCTTCATACTGCACTTGCGACTCATGCACGATCTACATGTAATGAAATGGTGCATAAATTATCGTATGCGCATATTATACACATGTATTTATATCAGTTGTCTAGTACCCATAGTACAAGCTCTGCTTAGTTTGGGACTAGATGGCGTTGTGTGTATGTGGTAGAATATATTATATTATATTATTATTATATATGTAAAATGAGTGATTTACATATCACTATTTATTATGCTATTAGAAACACTCTCACTGCATTCTCTGAGGTGATATTTACCCATTAGAAGAAATATTCATGAAACGGCTCAGTTAATTAATAAATTACGTTAGTTTTTCACTTCTCATATTATGTAGGTAACCCACTTATAAGAATTTTTATCTAACCACTTTTATTTTATGCCAAGACCCTTCCTCTCCTCTAGTTTTAAAAGACGTGAGTATATGAAGGGGTTACCATTACATTAATCATTTATTAAAATTTGACTGCACGGATGGCGTAGTGGTTCAAGCGGTCGCCACGCCGCTTCCTACTACGCCGGCGTTCAGAACCCACATGGGACGACACTTTGTGTGATCCACATATTGTTGTTCTGAGTCTGGGTGTTCTTTGTGTCCGTTTCATGTATTGTAAAGTTCCCCGCCACCCAGGATAAATTCCTAATGCGGGAGCTGTCGAAAAATATATATTTGCTAGTAGGTGTAATTAACACCTGAAATTTCAAACGCCAGTTATATAATCATCATTTTGGCCTACTATACCACGCTGGCCAGACGTGTTGGTATAGGGTTTGTTTCAAGTTTTCCTTCTCTTTGCAGTACTGTTGTTCTGTGTAGTTTGTTTCCTAAGTCGGCTCTTACGGCACCCATGGGATAAATAGAGGTACATCCGAATAGGTAAACTAATTTTCTTAGTTCCATTATTCAATTGCAAACCGATTTAAGCTTAATCTAATTGCATCAGAACCGTTATTGGCTGACGTTTGAACCAATTGCATAAGTAAGGAGCTTACCGTGCTTCTGTGTTTAGTAGACAAACAGTGTTTCCATTGAGGAATTCAGTTTTATTTTATGGGAATTGTGGGAGATGGGATATGTTATCATCAGCGAGTATTGAGAACGATTTTGCGCTTCACTATTTAAAATTTTGCAACTATAATTTAAGATAATAAAATGATAAGTAGGTATCCTTTTCTTTAATGTCGGACTCGAACCGACTAAAAGCAGCCGGTGTTCTGTCACAAGTGAGTCTACTGCAGGGGAGTCATGATACTGCAGAAAGTGTACTTAAAAATCATGATAACCCCGGTAAGAGTTACGGTCAGCCCGTTTTTCTTTACCCTTAGCCCAGACTCATGGAGGTCGGGAATCTACTGCGGGACGGCCGAGTGCTTGTTCTCTCACGTTCCCGTTTGACTGCCTCTTTGGCTAACATCATCTCTTCTTCTCACCACTAAAAAAAATTCTGTAGCCCTTTTACCTCCTTTCTAAGGAGAGGCCTACTCTCCTTAGAAAGGATATTTTGGCCTACTATTACGTATATATTTATTAACGTTATTTTTTAATCATTTTAATAAAATGATATGATATATATATATGAGTTATTAAATTTAATGATGTAGGGGCAAACTATTGACAGATCATCTGATGGTTAGTAACTACAGCCGCCTAAGGACATCTGTAACTCAAGGGTAATAAATGTGCGTTTCCGAGTCGAGATTGTTCCCCCATATTCCCTTTGTGCTCCCAAAAGGGGCGCCCGGGCTTGGCAGCGCGTCTCGCCTCCATTCCGGCCTGCTTCTGCTATCTGCGGTACCTGGTCCGTTCCCGGGCCTAGTAGTATAAATTAGTAGAAATATATAGTATAAATCATATAATCACACCTGCGATTAATTTACAAAGCCACTGCAACTTATGATTTATTATTACGGGGGGGGGGGGGGGAGGCAGACTCGCGAGCCTTCTAAATCTAAAAAAAAGTGTGGTTAAAAAAGTTAATAGTGATAAAAAGTTTGGTTTTCTTGTTTGTTCAAGTTTGATTGCATTTATCTTTGTCTATGACCAAGGTCCAGTAAATTTGTCACAATCAAATCGCAGTCATTTCATCATATGATCATGAATTAAAAGTCGCAATCATTTCCATCGCTAATAGGGTATAGGGTCTAATTATATAATGTGCTAAGGTGTCAGCCTTACGATCAAATGGTTGCAGCTTCAAACTCCACCAATTGCACTACATAGCTTAGCTGGGGCAATTAGTAAGAATGCTCCTAATGGCAAACGAACAGACGGTTTTAGATGGTAAGGGACTATTTTCCTCATGACTCTTATAATAAATGTATTTATACTCACAGGAAGCTGGTAACAGCAGTAACGAAGGCAAGACAGATTCAGAACCGGGGTCGCCGCTCAGCGTGCAAGCGCCGTCGTTTTCGAGGCAGGCGAGCAACACGGACAGCAGGAAGTCTGTTGCGTCTCCACTGGTAAGTTTAAGACTATTCTTTTATCTAAACATGAGAGTGATTTTAGGATTTATTAAATAAGGTTTTGATTTGGAACGAAAGCAGTTCCATATGTTTATATCTGGCCTGTTGGTCTAGTGGTTTGTGACCCTGACTACTACGCCAGAGGTCGATGGGGTTCGATTCCCACCCAGGGCAAATAATTGTGTGATGAGCACGATGATTTGTTCTGTGTCTGGGTGTAATTTATATACTTTACGTATGTATTTAGAAATATATAAGTATGTTTATCAGCATTCTGGTTACCATAACACAAGCTCTGCCTAGTTTGGAATCAGGCGGGCGTGTGTGAGATGTGTGAAGTTATTATATCGTTTCAGCAGAAGCATGTAAGTGCGACAAGTAGTAACGTATACGTATTTAAAGATAACTCCCGCACTAGGAGTATATCTTATGTCCTGGGGCTTTTATAAACATTCATGAAGCGGACACAAAGAACCAGACTCAGAACAAAAACATTATGGGTATGGATATAGATAAGTTGTCCCATGTCCCAACCTTAAGCTTAAAGCACTACGCCATCCGTGCAGTCAAGTCCGGGTATATAGACAAAAATGTGTATTTACCTCATTCCTCATTCATGTTGTCTCTTACCTTGATTGTAGCAACATTAAATGAATCAGAAAACAGCCTGACTGAGTTTCTTGAGGCTTTTTCTCAGTAAGATACCAGTTGGAAGCCTCATTACAAGAACAAAAAAAAATACGAATCAAAATAGTTATGAAACTTAAATAACAATTTATTTCATCTGTCTATCTATGCATAGATCTGAGATCTAACTTACCATTATAATATCTCACACATCTCACACACGGCCGTCTGATCCCAAACTAGGCAGATCCTGTACTATAGTAACCAGACTGCTGATAAACGTACTTATATATTTCTAAATACACACATATTATACTCGTAGATAAATTACACCCAGACACAGAACAAATGACCGTGCTCATCACACAATATTTGTCCTGGGTGGGAATCGAACCCACGACCTCCGGTTTAGCAATCAGGTTCACTAACCACTAGACCAACAGGCCTGTCAATTATCAATGTATGTTGGTCAGTCTGTAGTATTCCAGAAAACGACATTAAAAAGGGTTGCTTTCCATCCAAAACAAAAAGCAGTATTCTTCAGAAATTAACTTAAAACACACAAATAAAATCTAGTATTTAATATTCCCTTCTATGTATCTATCAAATGACAATAACTAACCAATATTATCTGATAGCTAAACGATTAACGCATTAGCAAATTTAATATTGTCGTCATTAGTGACGTCATTGCGCAGATTAAACTATTCTTGGTAACTGGATATAGCTTGTATAGATTTCACAATTAGTTTGTTAGCAACTAATGGCTCATTTTCACATAGATCCGATCACTAAACTGAAGTAGCTCGCTTTCTGAGGATTTGGCAACCTTACCCTTCACTTAAAAGGAAAAACTAAAACTTTAGGATTAAAGGAAGGATAATTCCCTCGTCGATTTGTCTACCCGTGTTCTCAGGAAGTTTTGCACTTTACAGATAAATCCGATACTCTCTATTGAATGAGAATCAAGAAATTTAAGGCATAAATCCGAATTATAGTTTGTTTAAGGAAAATTTGACTGTAATATAATTTGTGAAGGCAAAGTTTTGTTTATAGCGACTTGGAAGATAACAGTTAGTTATCATGAAATAGCGGACATTTTTTTCGTTATCTTCGAGATTAAATGCCCGAAATTGACAAGTTATATACATAGATACATACATATACTCAGATTTGTACGGCATCCTCGGTTTTTTTTTTAAGGAATATGTCCTGTGTTGCGGGGGACTTTACAAACATACATAAAACGGACACAAAGAACACCCAGACTCAGAACAACAATTTGTAGATCACACAAAATGTTGTCTCATCGCTGTTCGAACCCACAACACTCAGCGCAGTAGGAAGGCCGCAGTGCGACGCCATCCGTGCAGTCGCAGTGTAACTTGCGCTTATCATTACTGTTTACTTTTTAATTTTTAAAGAGGGTTTAGCCTTTTATACCTCGCTGGTCAGAGGGGTGAAAGGTGAAGTGAAATATATATTCTATTATTACTAAAAACATAGTTCAAATTGGATGCAGTATCGCTGGCGTTGATAAATGGGTGAACGGGTAACGCAGTGAAACTTTAGACTTGCAAGTAAGGGTAGCTAACTATGAAGTGTACTCAGCTGTTAAATATTGAAGTCAATTATTTTATGTACTTACTTAGAATTGTATCTTCACGCTTGTATTTTCAAAAGAGTAAGCAGAGATGTATTGAATAATCACATTTGACAACCATAATTTTGTTCTACGCACGTTTTACTACAAGACCATTGGTCACAACCTGAACCTCCTTTCTAAGGATCCTATGTCGAGCAGTGAACTATTGATGATGATGAATGCTGGCAATAGACACTTTTGAAATTAAAGCAAGAAAAAAGTATTTTGTATCTATGTACGGTACCACTTACGGTTTATAAAAGAGCATTTGTGAAGAGGGCCAGTTTCCATTTAAGTTACTTAAACCTATTCAATATAGTTTAAACTAGCTTTTACCAGCGGCTCCACCCGCGTGTATGGCGGTTATCACAGTAAAAAGTAGCTTATGTTACTCGCTGATAATGTAGCTTTCCATTGGTGAGAGAAGTTTAGTGGTTTAGGCGTGAAAGCGTTACAAACAAACAAACTCACTTTCACATTTATAAATATGGATATTAAGTTCCTTCTCTATATACGAGTACCTAATACAGTTGCTAATTTCGCAGACCCACATGTGACGGAACATCGTGTAGTTTTTTAATTGTTTTCACCAAATGAGTTAAGTTAACGAAGCCCCAAAAACCCCTGCAAGGGGAAGGGGAAAGTGTTAGTAAGTAAATTTGAATATTGGAAAGAATTGTGGTCATATGTTACGAAAAATGCTATTGGTCCGCCATTTCTGTCTCTGGACCAATCAGAACACTCGTTTCTGTTTGCTACCATGTTTTATACTAGATTATTGTTTGTCACTTAGACCATGCTGTTCATTAAAACCTTAATATTAAAACTCAGTGTTTAAAACAGTTTGTGTGTGTCATAACTTAAAACCTTAACATAAAACAGTTTGTGTGTGTCATAACTTAAAAAACCTTAACAGGTTATGTGCCCAGATTACGTTTATACTGAAGCGCTAAGCAGTCTTTGTAAAGTGGTCATAAAAACAGTGAGTAAAACCTAAAAACCAGTGACGGTGATAGAACAAGTGAAAATTGAGTTTTATCACACAGATTGTAAGTAAAAAAAAAAAAAAAAGAAAGTTTTCTGCAACATGTCTTCAAATCAGATCGATGATGTCTCACATATTGAAAAACTGAGCGGTGTTGACAATTTCCATGTATGGAAATTACAAATAGACATCGTTTTTCAATCTGCCGGTATCGATGACTTTGCCTTGGGAACGATAAAACAGGAGAATTTGAGTGATGAAAAGGACAAAAAAGAGTTCATAAAAAAGGATGCTCGTGCTAAAAAAGCGATAATAACCTCAGTTAGTAAGACTGTGTTGTGTCACATATTACACTGCAAAACATCAAAAGAAATGATGGACAAACTAATCAAGGTTTATGATCGACAAAATGAAGATCAGGTGAATGAACTTTTACAGAAATTTTATGCGCATAACTTTGACAAATCGCGTGATATGGCTCATAATATTAGCACTATACAAAATATAGCTTTTCGTCTGACGGCTCTTAAGCAGAATATCACAGATGAGATGATTATATCCAAAATTCTTGCTGTTTTACCTCCTGAATATGCAACATTTCGTACAGCTTGGGGTTCTGTAGCTAAGGATGATCGCACAGTGGACAATCTTGTGACTCGACTCTTTGCTGAAGAAAATAATATTGGAAAACCTAGAACCAGTGAAAATGTTGCTTTTCAAACCTCTAAACAGAAAAAGTCCTACCTGAAGAAAAGTGAAAAACCCCCCACCTGTTTCAAATGTAAACAACCAGGTCATTTCAAAAATGCATGTCCAGTGCAGAAATCAATTCAAGATGCTAAAGAAAAATGCAGATACTGCAAAAAGACTAATCACAAGTCGGAAAGATGTTTTTTCCGTGCTGAGCATGAGAAAAGAGAAATGGAAGTTAAAGACAAAGTTGCATACTTAACTCAAAGATCAGAAAATTGCAATACCAATGAATTAAAATTTTATGTAGACAGCGGATCATCATCTCATATGACAAATCAACCCTCTATTTTGTCAAACTTTAAAATTGAACATGATGAAGTTAAAGTTGCTAAGAAAAATCAGTCCCTACCTACTACTGGTGTTGGAACTTTGGATGCCAAAGAATGTATTCTTAAAGATGTCATACTAGCTCCATGTCTTGACAGCAACCTCATATCAGTTGGAGCCATAACTGAAAATGGTGGTCAAGTACTTTTTACCAAAGAAAATGTTGTGATCTCCAAAAACAACCATGTTCTAAAAGGAGAAAAACAAGCTAACGGTTTGTATGTTTTAAAACTCACTTCAGATGCTCCTGAACAACTGACATGTTTCCAAGTACAAAATTCAAGAAAGAAAGATGCTGTGTATTGGCATAGAACTCTGGGACATCTCAGCTATAAAAATTTAAAAGAACTTAATAAAGAAAATAATTTAGGAATAACAGAGACTGACTTAAAAATCACAGAAAACACTTGTGAAGTCTGTCTGAAGGCAAAACAGACTCGTTTTCCATTTTCTACAGAGCGCACCAGAGCAACTCGACCGCTAGAAATTATCCATACAGACATATGCCAAATTGAGAAACCTACATGGGATGGATATACTTACATTTTAACATTCCAAGATGATTTTACATGTTTCAAACAAATTTATTTGTTGAAAAGAAAATCTGATACTACTGAAACTCTAAAACAATATGTAGCAGAAGTGGAGTCAAAATGGACT